CTGCCTCCTGTGGCTGCTGAGCACGAAACCAACTGGAAACCAACGGAAAACCATATGCTTGATCCATTCGGATAGCGAACTGCACATGTCTAGGGCTAATTACTCCCAACTCTAGCCTTGTGTTGGTCATCAGCCGCCTGAGGGAACGCCCCTACAAAGGCGGGGGCTGGAAAAAAAGTAATTGGATCAGGGGGAAGATGATGTACAGGGAATTCCAGAGAAGGGGAGTGCAAACCCCAGAAAGTGCTTCAAAGATGCGGCCGACCACTAGACGCATCAGCTGGAGGACACCTCAGATGGCTTGGGCCTTGTCGCTCACACGCCTACATGCTGAACGGACAAACTGTAGCTTGGGACGGCTCAACGGTAGCCAGCAAGCGACAACACAAGGGCAATAAAACCACGTTGGTCATTTATGGGCGCTAAGGTCCTTGTGAGCTAGACCAATCTGGCATATTTTAATCAAATATTTCAATAAAAAAGGGCTGTTTGGGACATTACAAGTCCCCGGATAATAGCCAATAACCTTGTAAAACCGTGGGAGGAAATGGCAGAGCATCTGCTCAGCACCTTGCAAGGAACCCTTAGTGCTGTACAATCCTTCCGTCCTTAACTTTCCCACCTGCAGCATGTTCATTTTTATACAGTCGTACCCTTTAGGTCATCGTACAAAATGAGTACCTAGACTGAAACAAACGCATGCGGTCAACTCAGGTCCTGGAAGGGAGAAATATCTGCAGGCTTTTCTTTTACGCCGGAGGGAACTGCATCGTCTTCGATGAAGCAGTTGACCTGCAAACAGAGTTATATCCTCCTGAGATCCTACCCATTCATTTATGTCCATTGTAATGGACATTTTGTTTTTGCATCTTTTCACTGATGTTAGGAAACGTATTTATTCCTGTTGTACACTAAAGAGGACATGCTGTGAAATTAAAAATAAAAATAAATTTGAAAAAATCTAAATTGTAAGATGTCATTTCCTCCAAAGACAAATAATCTAAAATTGAAGAACGCTTTTTTCCTTGGGTCTCAGGAGGATATGAGATGATGGGGAGAAATATATATAAAATCACAGGAACTCATTCCCAATACAGTATCTAACGACAATGAGCTTTACATTTCTCGCAAAATTTCTTTGTGAATATTCTGCAAGCAAGAGAGAATTATCATTTCTTAGAAAGGAATATCTTCCCACACTAGTTACTCATGTATTTGGTTTTGAAGTTGACTTTGAAGTCGATCACGGCGGGATAAATGCAAAATGGATAGGAAATGAAAGCCAGACTGCATGGAATCCAGCCTCCGCTTAGAGTTACAACAGCTACATTATTAATGCAAAGACTTACAAAGACTAGGTGTTCCATTTTGCAATTCCATCCACGATAAACCTCTTATCTCTGGCACTATGTCAGCAACCCAGCAAGTAAAAAAAAAA